TTTTTTGAGACGGTGTTTCACTCTTGTTACCCAGGCTGGAGTGCAATGGTGCGATCTCAGCTCACCACAACCTCCGCCTCCCGGGTTCAGGCAATTCTCCTGCCTCAGCCTCCTGAGAAGCTGGGATTACAGGCACGTGCCACCATGCCCAGCTAATTTTTTGTATTTTTAGTAGAGACGGGGTTTCACCATGTTGACCAGGATGGTCTCGATCTCTTGATCTCGTGATCCACCCGCCTCGGCCTCCCAAAGTGCTGGGATTACAGGCTTGAGCCACCGCGCCCGGCCCTGTATTTTTATTAGAAACAAGGTTTTACCATGTTGTCCAGGCTGGTCTGGAACTCCTGACCTCAAGTGATCTGCGCACCTCTGCCTCCCAGTCCTGGGATTACAGGCTTGAGCCACCGTGCCTGGCTGAGAGTTTTATTCTGTTCTTCCATTCATAGAACTGTAATCTTTATAAGTTACTGATAGAATAGGAAACATATTTGTTGCTTTCAAATCTTACACCTTTGATTTTTAAACCGTATTAAGTTTATTCCTAGAGAATTCAGTCTAAGTGCATGAGAGCAGCTTTGAGAAGTTAGGAAACTGCTTTGAGCAGTGATGGCATCACTCAAGTGATGACTTGGAAGAATAATGTTTAATGTAAATCACAGTTTTTGGTAAATTCGACAGCCTCTTCCTGTAATGTTGAGTGTCTTTGAAAATAGGAAGCTGAACGAACGCTCCTTTGTAAACGGCGGTGGGTATCTGGGTGTGCGGAGCCCCATGTGGTCCCATCCAGACCAGTGTGCTGTCTGCTGTGTTTGGTTGTATTCAACTTTCGTGTTTGAGATTACTTTTTAAGTTTTATTTTGAAATTCTTTGTTTAAAAAAATGTTTTAGTAGCTTTTATGTAAGTGGTCTTTGGTGGTGGTATGCATTAGATCGTGGTGAGTTCTGAGATGCTAGTGCTCCTGTCACCCAAGCAGTGTATGTTGTACCCACAGTGTAGTTTTTTAGTCCTCTTTGTCATCTTTTTGTCTGGAGGGCTCAGTAATCTGTGTTGTTGTCATCTCTGCCGTGTTTTCGTATTCCTTGTAGTTGGGCTCAGCAAGGACTTTAAATAATCTGGAAGCTGTGAATAGTGGCATTATGGGCGATGCATCCTTCCTCTTGGAAGTTCTTCAACGAGAAGATTTTAGAAGTGGGTCGAGTTAGCGTCAACATTTGCTGAACTTAGCTGTGCACCTAGTGTGCTGAAGGAAGTGTTCCTTACAATGTGGTAGTGCTTGAGCATTGTGGGGTGGGTGTCTCCAGCCAATGTTAATTTCTTTTTATTAATTAAAGCTTTAAAAATGCCTGGCTTACCCTGTTTTGATTACCTACCAGCTATCATTTCTCTCTCCAGAGAATAGTGATCTTGTTTTTCTTTTAAGCACCATAGAATTAATTAGAAACGTTTTTATTTGCAGAGTATTCAACAGTAATAAATGGCATGTTATCTGCTGTTGATTGGCAGCGGTGTTGAAATTTAGCCATTAATATGTTCAGTAACAGAATGGAGGCAGTTTTTTTGAGACAGAGTTTCACTCTTATTACCCAGGCTGGAGTGCAATGGCGCAATCTCGGCTGACCGCAACCTCCGCCTCCTGGGTTCAAGCAATTCTCCTGCCTCAACCTCCCGAGTAGCTGGGACTACAGGCACGCGCCACCATGCCCAGCTAATTTTTTTTGTATTTTTAGTTGAGACAGGGTTTCACCGTTTAGACCAGGATGGTCTCGATCTCTTGACCTCATGATC